ATGTTTCTTTCAGATATGCAGGCTTAGTGACTCGTAGGCGGGTTTTGTGCTCGGTGCTGCTCTGCTGGGTCATTTCAGTGATCATTGCCTTCGGCCAGTTCATCGTTTCCAACTCTTCGGATACCTGGGGAGCATCTGAGGATGACGATACGGCTAGACTGGGGATGAATGAATGGCCTGAAGCCAATTATACCACCCCTACCCTCCCTCCCAAACGTCTGCAGCTGGTCCAGGAACTAGAAGCTGGAGCACATCTGCTTGCCTGAAGCTCTGCCTCTGCTTGGTCGGGTCAGTGGGCAGTATTGTGGACGCTCCTGTGTCTGTGCTGTTGAACCTGAGGAGCTCCCGGTGCCTGTACACCTGTATCGCTATGGTCTCCTGCCCCCTCCTGCTCAGGCAGTTCACCGTGTGCCTTCTGCTTCTACTCACCCTTAATACACACCTGCAGAGCCGCCTGGGGAACAGGTGAGTGTGAACATCCTGACCTTGCTTGCAGTGCTTATGTTTGAGAAGTTCAGCAAGTCTCAGCTATTGGGATTTTTGCATATGTGAAATAATATTAAAGACTCGATTTGTGCTGACTATAAAATCGGATTATTAAATTGTGCTGAATATGCTAAATAGTCAAAATTCAGGACGGAGCTTATGTTTCTTTCAGATATGCAGGCTTAGTGACTCGTAGGCGGGTTTTGTGCTCGGTGCTGCTCTGCTGGGTCATTTCAGTGATCATTGCCTTCGGCCAGTTCATCGTTTCCAACTCTTCGGATACCTGGGGAGCATCTGAGGATGACGATACGGCTGGACTGGGGATGAATGAATGGCCTGAAGCCAATTATACCACCCCTACCCTCCCTCCCAAACGTCCCAACCCACAGGATAGCTCTGTAATCGGGCAGTTCTTGCCTTACGGAGGATTACTTTCCAAGTTCCTGGTGGAGGACAAGGAGAACTTCACATATGCGGAGATCCACGGCAGCCATTGGGGCGTCTGTGCCCCCGACACTACGCTCAGTCCAGTCTTCATGGTGTATGTTTATGCCGTCACCGTGTTTGTTATCCCTTTGTTGGTTCTGTCGGGTGTGTATCTGGACTTGATGTGTTTCATGCCACAGCAGGTTCCAGTGAGCTCCACATTTTCTCAGAAACGAGCTCAGTGCAGTCTCGCTCATTGGCTCTCTCTATTTCTCTACTAGTAATGCTTTGCCTGCCCCTGCACATCACCCACGCTGTTACTCTTCGCCCCGAGCGCCGCTAGACCCAGCTGGACCTCTCTGACGGCCTCTGTTCTCTTCCAGATGTATAGCCTTGTGCCCCCCCTTCTCTTCACCAACACCTCTCAGCAGGTAGGCTTCAAGTGCTCCTTGTTATCCGTGCCCAACCTGACCTCGAGGGTTATCTCCTCTCGAGTTAAATCTGTGGGGAGTGCTTTTCGTTCAGTGGAAGATTTCAGTCACCCTGGACCAACACTGAAAGCCAAAGCTTCTCCAGAGATGTGATGGGATGTCATGTGAAGAGGGCACTTGCACCAAAAGTTATCTGTAGAGTCCTTGCATGGGTTATATGAAATTATTGAGTAAAACTAATCCAATACTAGCTCATGGCAGATGCCAGGCTTTCTGCAGTGTATTTGCTTTAGGGTCGATCCATGTCATTTCAGATTGAATTAAAGAAGTGTGTTGCTGCACAACAATTTTCTTCATACTTTTTTTGTGTTGTATGAAACCTAAAACTAAAGTATGAATAAATTGGTCATTTTTGGAGCCCCCTGTAATTATTATACACCTACATATCACATTTCTCCAAAATGTACCCATTTAAATAGAGCTAATGACTGCAGTCATTAGTTCTATTTAAATGGGCACATTTTTATATTCACAATGAAGTCTTTCCGATTTATGATTTCAAACTCTATTGTTATGCTATTTGACCGCTTTGTATCTGCTATTTGATGCTGTGATTCACATATTCTGTCTTATATACTGTGACGAATGGATTTAAAGCAATGTAAACTGCACCTTGCTGCTTTGTTTTCTTCAGAAAAATGTCTCTCCTGTGATTTTCTGCGCGTGTGCTGAGATCTTGTGCTGCTGCATTAAAGTATGCGATAGGTTGAGCACATTTTCATATAAGGCTGACATTTAATTGCGAATCACATAAATGACATATTTTAAAACCAAAATTATGCATCTGCAGTAAGGTGACAAGTAAATATTTCACTTATAAAATCATGGAGCGTGATTATCAAAGGTAAAAATAGGTTGTTGCATTTTTTAGAAGTTGCATTCAAAATCCACTTGCCTTAAAGTCTGAACATGCGCAGAAAGTCCCATCTGCAGAAAACAATCTGATGGAATGTTTACATGTTTAGGCTGATATTATCAAATGTTTACACCACCCATTTCAATGTGAATGAAATTGCATTCATATTTGGTCAGTTTATTCTAATTAACATATAGTTATATGAAACATTTTCATTCAGACTGGGCTAAATGAGTGCCTAAAAATGAGCAAAATATTGTACCGCACCTGACTAAAATTTTAACATCTCACATTCTGTTAATGGACTTGCAAATTTTACGAAGCCAATCAAGACTTTGGCTTTAAGATCGAAACACATTTATTTTTATCCTTGGTGTTTTGGATTAAGGCCACAATACCACCACGTCTAAAAAGTTTTCAATTTTTTCCAACTTTCGGGGCCAATTATGAAAATACTTGAACTCAGCAGGGACACTGAGCCATTTGGATTTGAAGGAAACAAGTTTGTGTATGTATCTTCCAATTCCTGTGAGGCTAACAATCGTAATTCTTGAGTTATCATACCCTGAACATGGCTTCCCAGATAAGACCTTTTTTGGCTTGGAAATAATTAATTCTTCAGGGAGGGCAGAAAAATTATCAAATTGTTACAATATGCAAGAAATATTCTTCAGACCTTAGTTTTATGTCACCAGCAACAAATAAGCAATCTATGGTGCAGAAATAAAACCTTCCGATTGAACATGTAATGAATCATTAGAAAGCACTTTGTAAATTCCCGTTATGTGGCACAAATGGTCCAATAAATATTCCATTGATGCCATGTTTAATCCCAGTGATACTCTAGGATTGACGGTGAAATGATTTTACCAACAATCTCAGAAGACTGTTATATGAATACATCAATATGTTTGCATACTTATACATAATTAAATATAGTATATTAAAATGTGTCCCATCAATGTTTAAACCCGGCGCAAGCTTTTGGTTTGATCTGAATGTTTAATTATAACAACTATAATAGCATATCAAGTGGGAGAGACTGTTTGAATGCATCAAGATAATTAACCACTCAGTAACTCCCATGGAAAACAGGATTCCATAGCTGTTTTGATTAAATGCATACTTCTTATGTGCAGCTCGAATAAAAGCCCTGTTTCACACTAATTGGATTATTCTTTTTGCTCACATGTGCCAGTGCTGGTGTAAGAAATGACTCCTTTTGTATCTGAATATTTGTGTTGTGATCTCCGTGTCTTCTTCTCTCTCCTCGGCGTCTCACTCCCCCAATCCACCCATTATCCACCCAAGTTTTAAGCATGAAATCCTCCATCTAATGTCACTTTCACTCACTGTCTTTGTAAAGCCCCGACTTTGATTTGCCTGACGCTTTTTCCTTTCTTGATCATTGTCTTCGACTCATTTTTCTTGCAAATGCCTTTCTCTCTCATTAAAGTCTGCACTAACCTCCAAAGCCGAGGTGAATTATTGAGTGAAGTTGGACTGTCAGAAAGGAAAAACAAGTAAAAGCTCTCCCTATCCAAGAGCCCATTCGATTGTTTTCTCCGCTCGAGAGCCTTTAGCTTCCTGCCGATATGACAATCTTTCATCACTAAAGCGGCTTCGGTCAATTCATCGCACCTGCTCTAGTCCACATCCTCTTGAATGGGGTCATTACAAGGAGCTGGGATGCTTCAAATCCATCACGCACAGAACGTAACCGTTTATCGTCCTTGGATAAAGCCGAAGGAAAGTTTGACCAGCATATGCTTTATTACCCATAGCTCTGAGATGCCAGCCGAGGTCCTGTAAACAAAATTACAAGAGATTGATGAAATTCTGATGAAGTCATTTCTCATTTGAACTCGGCGTTTGGAGTTTGCCGGATCGCTGAAGCGTTACTCGATTCGCAGAAACCCCAAAATTAACAACCGATCATGCTTTGTGAAGCATTTCTACTCGTACTAAAAGGAAATTGCTAGCATATGTCCTTCTTTATCTAAGGAGCTGCTCAAAGCGAGCAGAACAGCAGGTAACGCAGTGTGCGCTTTGATTGCCATGTGACAGTTACTGTTTATGACAGGCTTCTGCAGAGCCTCTCCATCAATAGAGTACAAACACATCGATCAGTCATCCTCCCCTCGGCTTTTAAACGTAGAGCCACCCCTCCCGGAGCGCTCAGCAAGTGACTTCTGACACAATCGTATATTGATTGCAGTGGAATAATAGATGAGTCCTATTTTAATGCACCTGCTTTCTCTCTTTGGTGTCTCTGCTCTTTTGTCACAGGAGTCTTATGATTCATCATCTCAGTCACAGCTTTCATCTCTGCTGGCTGCTTCTGCTAATTAAAATATCCTCCCCTTTTCCTTGCTGCTTTCCTTTACTGCCACCGCTGAAACTTGATTGTGTCAGCTTCTCGAAGTCAGAAAATCTGTCTTAGACGCGAGATTCTTTAAGTATTTTTTATTTTGTCGTGCTTGGTATCTTTCCCCTATAAAGATGTACAGTTAGCTATATCAACAGCGACGCAAAGACTACAAAATAAACAGGAAGTGAAAGACAGACAACTAGAAGGAAAGACACAAACAGGATCAAGAAGGAAAGGACAGAAGTGAATGAAAGAGAAGAGAGAAAAGTGGGTACACGGCTGTTTCTACTGGTAAAACTAAAGCATGGGAAGTATACAATTTATAACATTTACAATTATAATAACAGTAAGAATAATAATAATAACAACAACGACGATCATAATAGTCCAAATAATAATTAATAAAAACAATTAAGACCTCTGATATCTTTTAAAGACAAATGAAATATATATTTTTTTGAATTTGTATTTATTTTTTTTTTTAAAGATGACGTAACAGTAGTTTGTTCAGTTTTGCACCTCTAAGCTAATAATCTGTGTTAGTACGATAGCATCGCTGGGTAATGCGCGCAAAAGTAAATGTGTTTTTTTTTTCTTAAAAGAGTCATTTAACTTACTTTTTCATACAAATAATGACTTTAGAGATATGTTTCATTGTGTAAGCGTTTTCGTGTTGAGCAATCGAAAAAAAAAAATTATATTGAAATTTCTGACATGTTCTCTACAAACTCCTTCCTGTTTTTCTCACCCAAGTCGAGCTCCTCACGGTTTCACGTTTCTCTTTGACTCTTCGCGATAATTAAGCCCCTTTTTACAGCGTCAGAGTGAGCGGTCCGCTCCAATTCATTCCTCTCATAAAAGAGAACATGTCTAATCACTTAATTATTAACAAACAATAGTGGAGAGATAGTGGAGGGAGAGGAAGGAGCATCGGAGAGCGGGAAACGGAGAGTCATCGAGAGAGGATCAAAACGAGAGAAACTTTTTTTCACAAGTCAACAGGTTTTGGCCAACGTGAGCAGATAATGGAGTCGCCAGATGAAAAGCCCAGATGAATACTTTATGAGGACGGCTCTGAGCTCTCAGCTGTCTACCAGCTCAGTCTCTGAGGCCCGAACGCTTTGGCAAATGCAGGGAATTTCAATTTGCTCACGTTGGGACATTCAATAGCTCATAAGCCCTTTGCGGCTTCCCACAGCGACGCCGTTTCACCCGGGTTATGGATCGGCCTGTTTTGAATGGACATTTTTCTCTCCTGGTCCTACAATTACGGCTAGTTGTCTATGGTACTCGCAAGTAAAAACAGAAAGAGTGTGTGTGATGGTCTCTTTCAATCATAATAATTATCCTCTCCTCCCGGCTCTCTCCACCCCACTCCAATGTTGTCTCCGTTCTCTCCTTCCCACTCCATCTTCATATGGCACGATTGTGATTCCCTCTGGTTGTCGTAGTGGTGGTGTGTGGGTCTGTTTTTGGGAACAGTGTGTGTTGCGGTGTGCACTCTGCAGTGGTCCAGTGTTTCTGAAGAGCTCCACTAGGGCGGCGCTACAGTAGGTACTCCTTCTTGCCCTGGCTGGCATCATTACCGTTGAGGAACGCCTCCTGAACCTCACCGTGTTCATCCAACCCACTGGCCTCGTGAGTCAAATATGAACCTAGAGAGAAAGAAAGACAATTTCATCAAAATTAGGTTTATACTTCACTGCAGGAATTAAAACAACAACAAAAAACATATTAAATCACTTGCCGAGTGCAATTAGATATATTTTCTATTAAAAACAGGACTTAATTAATGTTGTCTTAATTATTGTCTCTTCCTGCTTTGATTTGCATCCAGTAGGGGACTGAGGCTAGTTGATATTTAATTATTAACTTTTAAAACATGTGACAACCCCAATAAAAAATGTGGTAAGCTGCCCCTACCTGACATTTATAAAAAATGCCTCTGTCCTGGTTTAGCCTTTTAGTTCAAATCACCCATCATTATATAATTGACTGAATATGTATTAGTGTGATCTATGTTCACTTTTCATACAACAACATTTATTAACAGCAGAATTCACAAAAAATAATTTAAATTTAAGAAGTGTTTGAAACCATCATACAAAAGCACAATTGGATTTTTGACACAAAAAAAACCTTTCTGAGATGTAAGCCTTGTGAAAAATTCCCCGTATCAGTATTAATTTTTGAATTATTTAGTATTATTCAAATGTTCGATTTAAATACTTATTATAAACAAGACAAAAACATAGAAATCTTAAATGAATGGTTCAGCCAAAGAATTGTCATCATTCCTTCACCTTTATGTAATTCCTATAAGTTAGTGTTGATTAATATTTGGAATTAGCTTAACTAGTTCATTTTAGTTTAATTTTTAGTAATTTTAAGTGCTTTTGTCATTTAAAAAAAAAATATTTCTATTTAGCTTTATATTTATTTTAGTTTGAGTGATTTTAGTACTATTTTATTTTAATTTTATTTTTATATATATTTAGTACTAAACTTATTTTATTTCAGTTAGTTGCCAAGGCAACATTTCCAAAACTAACATTTGATAGTTTTTTTTTTAGTTTTCATGTAATAATTATATTTTATTTTCAGATTTCAATTAATAAAATAATTAACTATAACAACACTGCCCCACATAACAACTAGCCCTCATGCCCCTCCATATTTTTTATTTTTATATCTTCTAAAGTATTCTCAGTGTATTCTAATTTGTATGCATAACAGTCAATATAACTTTTGCACGTTCCCTCTTGTGTCTTCACCTACACCCGAGTGGCCTCAATCAGTATGTCTCAAACTAAACTGTCCCCTGGGGATTCATGCCGTTGTATTAGATCGCACACATCTAAACATTCATCATCACGTTTCTGCCAGTTACAGCTTCTTTCGCAGGGCCAGCAAAAGTCATCTTACTGTAATTGGGGGTCACTTATGCAGATCAACTTTTAATTATTCACTAAATTCATTAGGAATAATCACCTCTGACATTTTGCTGCACAGTCAGTGACTTGGTACAGTGCAACTTTTTTATTCACATCATTATATGACGGTTTTGCCTCTGTGGCTGGGAGACAAATAACTGAAATAACTCGGGCAGAAGTGACTCTGTGGCACAGGCATGACACCGTTTAATTAAAAAAAATCGATCTTATGTACGTGCAATTTTGCTTTCCTAAAATGCAAGTGTACAGCAGAGGCTGATGGGGCCATTAAAAACAGTGATGTCGTGGACCGCGCAGGATCAGCACAATGCATCAGAGCTGTAATGTACCTCTTCCTCTGCCCTAAGATTAATCACTTCCATTCTGCCTTTCCAGCCACCCCAAGGTTAGACAGGATCAACCCTAATGCTCTCTGTCTCTGCACCGATAGGTGAACTAACTGCATGTGATTTTGATTGGCAGGTGAGCTCGGGTTCCTCCGCGCCCTCTGCCTCCGCCCCAATTTGCGGGTGCCGTGATCTTTATTGGAAACGGTGACACACAGAGATGGCCAGAAGTTCTTAAAGAGTTCAGGGCAGAGGTAATTAAGTTTTCTTTATAGATGCGCCACGATACGGTTGACGAAAAAAGGCAATTAAACATGAGGGCCGTGCCCACATTTCCCTGGGCTACATCTCTATATCACAGGTCTGGCACAGTCCTCTGAAGGCGTTTGTTCGTTCGTTCGTTCTTTCTTTCTTTTTCTTTCTTTCTCATCTGAACACATTTACACAAATATATGTGCCCTCAGGAATAAAAAAGAAGAAGAAAACACCTACACCAACTATTCTTTCCTCCTGATTTTTTTACTCATCCGTTACATCACCTTAGGGGTGGGCGGCATGATCAAAATCTCCAACAGGATCACTAGTGCGATACTGGTTTAATACAACAGTTCCATAACCAAAAAGATAATACAAGTAACCTACATTTCAGACTACATTTGACCAGTTTTGATCTCTTTATCCCCAACCAAGAGACAATTTCCAAAAGAATCCAAAGATTAAATGCAATTCAGAAACAAAGTAACAGTAAAAAAAAGTAATATTATAACTAAAACACTACTGCTCAAAAGTTTGTGGTTGTAACATTTCCACCAAGGTTGCATTTATTTGATCAAAAATACACTAAAACCGTAATATAGTGAAATATTATTGCAATTTAAAATAACTGTTCTCTTTTTTTAATGCATTCAAAAATATTTATTCCTGTGATGGCAAAGCTGAATTTTCAGCAGCTATTACTCCAGTCTTCAGTGTCACATGCTTCTTCAGAAATCATTCTAATCTGCTGATTTGCACCTTGTTATCAATGTTGAAAACAGTTGTGCTGCTTAAGGAAGAACATTTATTAGAAATAGAAAACTTTTATAATATTATAAATGTCTTTACTTTCACTTTTGATCAAATTAATGTGTCCATGCTGAATTAAAAGTATTAATTTCTTTCAAAAAAAACAAACAAAAAATATCTTTGATCTGTAGAGCTTGTAACTAATATTCCAAAAACTCTGAATCTAAATAATATTCAAAATACTCATGCATTTCTTGCTTATATACACCCTTTATTCATCCTCACATCTCGCTCTGTATTTTCACAGTACTCAGTGTACATTACGCACCCTGTTTGCTCACTGATAAGAATCCACTGCAGTATTAAAGCGCCCCTATTATGCCATTTCCAATATTGCCTTTCATGCAGTGTGTAATGTAGCTGTATGTGAATGTAAACGATCTGCAAAGTTGTAAAGCTGAAAGTGCACGATAAATAAAGTTATTGTCTCCCAAAATAAAGAATCGACTCTGAACAGCTGAAACGAGTCGTTAGTCATTCGAATCCCACTTCCGCGACGGCTACACGTCACGGGGTAACACATTTGCATAATTCGCGCCTATGTTCTACGTTGGCCGGCCGCGAACAACTTGACCTGATGACTGCTTCTCTAATCTCGGGGAGTTCAACGCGGGATTCACAAAACACTCGCTGTTGAAAGATGGATCAGTATCCTGTTTATTTGGACCATCTGCTCCACTGAATCACAACCTGTAAGTATGATAAATAATAGACCTTTATACTTTCTATAGAGCGTTCAAAATACAGAACTATTGAAATAGGCGTATCGTTTCCGACACGCGCTGTACGCCGTAGACCAATCACAACAGACTAAGCCATCTGACCAATCAGAGCAGAGCAGGCTCACGGAAAGGAGGGGTTTAGAGAGACTGAATCTTTGAACTGCTTTGAACGAATCGTTTGAGAATCTCTGGAAAATGAGGTGATATTAAATGCATATTTTGAGAAAACGAAAGCGTTTTTTGACCTCTCATGCATGTAATCCTATTGTAGGAGACTCCCAAAACAATATTAGGAACCGTAAAAATGGCATAATAGGGGCACTTTAACAGTAAAAATCTCTACAGAGTAATATTTCTACCATCATATAGTATTTTGTACAGCCCAACCTTATAACACCATCTACTACTGTCCTTTTTTCAATTCTTGTTCATGCTGGCTCTCACTGCACCAAACACCAACAAACTGGATGAGTGATTGAACCTGGTTGATGTTGGTGCAGTGTGAACCAGCCTTTATCTTCCCCAGACACTCTCTCTACCGCCTGGATATTTGTTACTTCCTCCCTCTCCTCAGAAGGTGAGGTGCCACATGTCAGTGTTTGTGGAGAGAGGAGGTCACCTTTCTGTCGGACGGAGCACCAGATGGTGATGATGAGCACACAGATGACAGTGAAGACCAGCAGAGCCAGGATGCCCCCGATCATTGCATACGGAACGGCACTGTGGGTTTCCACCACTGCCCCGGGGTCTGAGACACACACAAACACACAAAAAGGTTTCAGCTTTAGCATTTTAACTAAAAACAAGTGACTCGTGAAAACAAAGAAATCCCATTAATGCACCCTGTTATTTTTATTGCTTGCATTTTATTAGTTAAAAGAGACAATGACTGCAGAGGAAAGATGCCATCGGAGTCTGTGTGTGAAGTTTACAGTAAAGTTTTACCTAAACTGATAGATAGGAAACAGTGAGAGGCAGAGACACTCAGAATCGTCAACACATGAGGCTGGACAGCATCCTTAAATATTTAACAACCTGTTTACACCACACAGCGGTGGGTAGAAAAGCAAAATAGGAGAGATGGAAACTGAGTGAATGAAAGAAATAGAGAGACACATAGATAGAGAGAGCAGAAGAGAGAAAGTGACATACAAAATGAGTACAATGCCAAGAAAGAGTGAGGAAGGAAAGTGCTGTATGTTTGAGCGTGGGGCAAATGTCAACACCAATAAGAAAAGTTTTCATGAGTGCCTGAAAAACAACCCTAGTAAAAACATTTACTGCTAGAGACTTACTCATATAAAAATGATAATTAAACAGTATTTGGAGTACTACTTGTGCATAATGCATTTCTTAATATTAAGCCTAAAATGGGTTTGTGTAATGTCACTATTGATGAGAATTGTATGATATTTGAATAATATTGGCCTTTAAATGCAAGATATTTAAAGTGTACCTGAAGTATACTTGCAATAGTTCCACTGTAGTACAATCAAATATATTTCAGTATATCTTTAGTTGAACTTCTGCACTACTTTCGCACAATTAAAGTGCATTAAGCACAAAATTAGTTGTTCCAATTTAGCAGACTTTAAGTACATCAGTTTAGTATACTAAAACTAAAATTGCAGGGTATTTTTATTAAGCACATAAATATGTAAATGTATTTGTAGTATACTTAGCATGAAATAAATGTATTTCAAATACATTTTAGTATATTTATTTTTCAGGCTGTTAAACTCTATAATCTACAAAAGGTAAACCTTTACAATCAGGGCTATTATTATTAGCTAAAACTAAAACTATTAAAAACTTTTTTGTTAATTTAAAGTAAAGCTGAAAATATCTTATAAGATGAAAAACCTAAACTAAATTCAAAATAGAAATGTTGCTCTAAAATTAACACTAAAATTATTAACTGGAAATAATAATAAAAAAACCCGGAAATAAATAAACCCAAATAGTGATGTTTAAATAAATAAATAAAAATGACAAAAGCACATAACAAAATTACTACAAATAAACTAAATGAAAACTATGTAAGCATATAATAAAAAATAAGTATATAAGGCACCCTTGTAATAAGGTCTTGTTTGTTACTATTAGATAACGCATTAGCTAACAATCATTGTTCATGTTAACTGATCTTTACTCATTAAATATTTTTTTCGCCCTCATATCATTCTAAACCTGTATGATTTTTTAACCAAACATTTTCGTTTACTATTGACTTCCACTGATTCCACAAAATATCTTATTTGTGTTTCAAAGAAAAAAGTAGGTCATACATGTTTGGAATGACATGAGAGTGAGTAAATGATGACAGAATTGTTGTTTCTGGGTGAAGTATCTCTTTAACAGACATGTTCACTATGAACCCTCCTTGGGAAGAAAATTCTCACACAGCTCTTTTCTTTGAAATTCTTCAAACTTTTGTGTTTCGCTGAACAGCATATGGATCTGAAACCACCAGTGTGAGTAAACAATGTCTTTTTTTTTTTTTAAATATGAAATTAAAGGTAAAGTGTGTAATAATGTTTGCTTTCAAAAACAATTCCTGTCTTCTATTGGTAAGCCAAACTGATAACCGCCCCCAAGCTCACACCATTGGTTGAGCTGATGTTGTAGTGTGGTCCAGATTTTCAAACAAACAAAACAATGGTTTCACCACAGAGCCCCAGTGTTTACATTTTCCAAGGGAAATAAACCTACAAATGGCTTTACTTACAGTTGTCTCCGCATATTAAGCTGGGATAAGAGAAAGTATTTAAACATCAAAAAAATTACACACTTCACCTTCACCGCAAATGCTTCAGAAACAGCGGGAGAGCTGGAGAGAGGGAGGTCGCCTTTGAACAGGCTGTCGAGTAACATTTCATTAGGAGTCCGTTTCAGAGACGATGAAAAATTAACGCTGCTCCCTGCCTCACGCACACTTTTCAGGGAACCAGCCACCCGGTGCTGAGGAAGTGACATTAGAGAGCGTCTCTTGCTTCTACTTGCAATTGTCTTTCTCTTCTAGTCTGTTCTGGAAAACACAGTCTTTATCCCTTCAATTCTTGCTGGATATTGAAGACAGCAAACATTGCCAGTCAGAAAGAGGAAGAGCAAGAAATGAGAAAAAGGTGTATGTGAGAGAATATGAAATATAGAGCCATCAAAAAAAGCATCATTGATTCAATGACTGTGCACTTTGAGGTGCATGAAATGGAAATGTTAGAAAATGCATCTGATCTCTTCTGCAGGTCAGTGTGTTGGAGCTGCTGTGTGAGGTTTGTGCAGTGTTGCGTGATGTTGATGTCTTGCAGTACAGTGAAGTCTCTTAGTAGTTCTGTCAGGTGGGAGGATCAAGGGCTCCCGTCTGACCTGACCTCACTTCCCACAACATCATGAATGACAAGTGATGCCGTGTAGAGCCAGGCCTCTTTAAAGGGGTCATTGTGTCTTTTTTTTGCTCTCTTTCTTGCTCTCTCTTTAAGCATGTGTTTCTTCATCTGTTCTCAGGCTCTTAAATTCTAACGAAAAACAAGGCGCAGCAGCTGAGTAGATCCTCTGGAGAGCGGCGCTAGTGCTTCAGATGACAAGGGCACTTGGAAGACAATAGGATTGTGTGCACATGCATCTAAAGGAACATTAATAAACACAAAACATGAATGAGAAGAAGAGAAGCTAGGCGATTTAGCAGGAGAAAACATATGGAACCAAGCTGGTTTCAAAGTAAGCATTGGAGCAGAGCCGTCAGGGAGGAATTCACATATGTTTAGGTGGAGAATGAGGTGAAAGACAATTAAAAAACTGGATTTGCATTTCCTGAAGGAAATAACAGTGCTTGCAAAGCCAGCAAACAGTAATGTTAAAATTAAGGGTAAAATGATAAAAAAAAAGCTGTGAAGCCAAAGACAGAGACAAGGAAAGACAGAAATTGAGAGTAATATGAAATACAGATGGATGAGTAAGCCTAATGTCCTGTCTTTGTAGCTTGAAGACGCTTACAGAAGGAACAGACCAATCACAAAGTTGAATGCAAATATTTTTTTAAATGCATGTAAAAAAAAAAACAAAGCTGCGTCCCAATTCGCCTACATATACTGTGCCCTCAAAGTATGTCCTCATTTTGTGAAGAAAAGGTATATGTTTTTGGGACATACTATCATGTCATAAAATTGTGTTTTTAATGGCCAATCTGTCGCACAGTTATATGCATCCTGTTAGCGTAAACTGGCCTGTCAATCATCTTGTCAAAGGTAACATCCACATTTAATTTAATTTCTTACCATATAGGAGAAAAAAGAAGTAGAACACTGATTTTCCAGTCATAGAACTTTCATGCAGAGAACTCTCCCTCATGTTTTTGCATAATGTTTATGAAGTTTATGGCCAAACCTATATTTATAAAAGTTCATGATGTCGTTGCAGATGAAACATAACATGGATAACACTGAATGAATATTTTTCTTCACATTAAATGTTGATTATTAATCACTCAAAACTTAATCTTAACTTCTCCATTTAACCATCAGTCTTGCATATCTGGCATGTTAGTACTTTTTTAACACTTTTTATTTGTGTTTGTAGTTCTAAAGCAAATCCTCCTCCAGCGCACCATGGGTTGTGGGCAATATTAGCCAATATTCTGCACTTTGAATTTTCACAGGAAATAACAGATCCTCCGGGTACCTTTGGGATACTCATTTACATACCATGTTTGGGACAGACTAATTTTAATTTCGAATACTATTTAGGATGGATAGTATGCAAATCGGGATGCAGCACAACTGGAGTTCAGTATGCACATACATTATATGGACAAAAGTATTGGGACACCCCCTTCTAATGAACAGGTTTGACTACTTTAGTAATTTCCATGAGTACAAATCTTAATGTTAAAGCATATAATGATATTCTATGGCATTGTGTGCTTCTAATTTTATAGCAACAGTTTGGGCAGGACGTCAGGACCCTTTCCTATTCTAACTTGACAATGCCTCTGTGTATAAGGCAAGGTTCAAAAAGAAATGATTGATTGAGTCAGTGTGGAAGAACTTGACTGGTCTGCAGAAAGCCAAGTCCTAATCCCAGCTGAACACCTCTAGTGTGACTTTAAATGCAGACCTTGACCCAAAAACTCATCACCAAACACCAGTGACTTGTACATATGGGTACAGTCATTTTAGACACTTTCAAAACTCTTGCAACAGAGATGGAAATACAATTTTTAAATATATGAATTATGTTTCCATCTTTGTTGCCACAGTTTTGGAATTGCCTTTTTCTGTTCTAAAGAAGGGGGTGTTCCAATACTTTTGTCCATATAGTGTATGTACAAGTCACTGGTGTTTGGTGATGAGTTTTTGGCTCAAGGTCTGCATTTAAAGTTACACCAGAGGTGTTCGGCTGGGATTCTGCAGACCAGTCAAGTTCTTCCACACTGACTCAATCAATCATTTCACAATGCCTCTGTGTATAAGGCAAGGTTCAAAAAGAAATGATTGATTGAGTCAGTGTGGAAGAACTTGACTGGTCTGCAGAAAGCCAAGTCCTAATCCCAGCTGAACACCTCTAGTGTGACTTTAAATGCAGACCTTGACCCAAAAACTCATCACCAAACACCAGTGACTTGTACATATGGGTACAGTTCCAAACTGTTGCTATAAAATTAGAAGCACACAATTCCCTAGAACATCATTATATGCTTAAACATTAAGATTTGTATTCATGGAAATTACAAAAGTAGGCAAACCTGTTCATTAGAAGGGGGGGTCACAATACCTTTGTCTATACAGTGTATCACCATGATGTCACCAATCAGTTACATTTAGAATGCTGAACATCTTATCAACATAAAGATGTGCTCATGCCATGTCGGAATTACCATAATTATGAGATTCTGACCTGTACTGTAAAAAAAAACATTCACATCCTCACATAACTTGTAATTGCGACTTGTAAATTCTTAATTCTGAAAGCTACAATTTGTACCTTTCATGCAGCGTCACACAGAAACATTCAAAATGACACTGAATTCAGCAGTCAATAGTAGTTAAGTAGTTATCTTGTAATATTTCTGTTTATAAATTCCAACAACTGACTATTGTAAACGTCTTAATGCAAGATTAATCTGAAAATAATAGAAAGACACAATACAATTTAATGTAGCTAGATCAGAGTTGGACAACTAATAGCAATTGTGTTGCTAAATAATCTAAATAAACTTTAAAAGTATATTAATAAGGCAGTTGCATAACAACTGTTTCTTGTTTTATTTGGGTTTTGTTTATTGATTACTTAATTTGCACAGATTCATGTTGCCGTTAATTGAGTTGAAATAGAAACGCATAATTCTGAGGACATGAAATGCTCTAAGTAGAATGTCTGGGTTGTCATATAGTAATTACTGTAATTACAACATGGCATGAATGCACCATAAGTCAATAGCACAACTGAATTCAATTTTTAAACAAATATAAACTTTACAATAACCAAAAACAGATTATATGAAGGGCTAACAGCAATTCACAACGACAAAGAAACCAGACAGATTTTCAATAAAAGTTTCTTGAACCATTGAATGTATTTAAGTGCTGTCAACATATGGGCTTTCCAAGGCTATAGTGTTTAACAAAATTATCATCCATTCTAAGTGGTGGGTGTTTTGGATAAAGTCTCAAAAATGACTGATAAGTTTTCAATGGAATATATCACAGCCGCTGTGTGACTCTTGGTTGACTTCTGGTTGTATAGTTTGTCACATCAGTGAAAAGGCAGCATAAGACGAAAAATAAATATTAATACAGTGCTCATTGTGCAAGCACTGTAATAAAACTGTCACTCATTCCACAAATGAAGAGGTTAGCCAATCACAACAGAGGTTGGTTACATAATTCTTACAGCTACAATAACACAAACAACCTGAATTATTCTAAGGGAAAGAAAGAAATTTCAATGTAGTCATGCAAAACTAAAGTATGACTATTTTTGGTGCAATAAACTAACATTAAGTGCAACCCAGGGGAAAAAAAGGCAGGTAAAAGGGAAGTGAATAATGTAATGGAGATGAGGTAAGGTGAGGTGATGGAAGAAAGGTTACCTTGGTATTCCTTTGTAAAGCTGGAGGATGGAAGGGTGGGGTGAGCGATGGCAGGATGAGATTTGGGAGGGACAGACACTACAAGGGAATGGATTTACAACAGGGTTATTTACGAGCTACTGCAGCTACATACAAGCACATGCAGGGGAAAACACATGCAAAATGAGGCCTATCAGTGTGTGAGTGAGTGTACGAGTGTGTGAGCAAGAGATAAACCATGATGTTCATGAATTACACCCCTCGGCCGGGGTCAAGGGTCTCTTTGCGGGTAACATCTCCAGCCAGCAGGGTGCAGCATCTTCCTGTTCCACCCTTTCATCTCTCTCACCACTGCAAAATACTGCAGTTACCGTGCACCCTGGGCTCAGCTCTCTCTCTTACTGTAATCTTCAATCCCTCCGTCCCAAAGATCATCAATCTTACTGCTCTGCTCACCATCCTCCACACCTCTAATATACGCACTAGCCTCATCGCTCTTTCTCACCCCATCTCACTCCTGTTGCAGCCTCGCAGCTACTCTCTCCTCCATCTGCATATGGGTCTACCAGCTTTTTATGCAACAAAGAGCAGCACCACAGTTTTCGGCTGTGTATGTGTGTGGGCTTCAACACTCCGAGGGATTAACAGCTTGGTACCAGACCGATCAATATCCCAAGACCACCATGACTCTTCAGAAAGAGGAGGCCTGCTAATCATCCCTCTCATTCCTCTTCTCTCAGTTCCTCTTATCTTTCTCTGTAGCAAAAGATCTCTTATTTTGAAATAACAGTTCAGATATTTAAAGGTACAGTTTCCTCAAAAACAATTCTTAAAGGAATAATTCTTTTAAAAATGACTCTTAAATGGACGGTTGACCCAAAAATGTGAATTCTGTCATCATTTACTCACCCTTATGTCGTTCCAAATCTTCCAATCCAACATAAATGGAGACATTCTTCAGACCATAAACAAAGACTGGCACAAAAGTACCATATGAGTTTCATAAATATTGACCATACAACTAGTTCCAAGTCTTCTTACTATTGATTTGTGTAAGAAACTAAGCAAACATTACATTGGGATTAATTGATATCTCTATGAACCAATGTGACCGGATCTGTGAGCCAGATTCACTGAAAGGATACACAGATCAAAAAAGAATTCACTCACAAATCAAAATAGCTGCTTCTCGCATGATCACAACACGTAAAAATAAAGAAAGTTCACAAAATTGTGGATAACGCATCTGGTTTGGTCTGTTTCTCACATAATAACAGTATATTAGAAGACTTGGAGTATAGCACACAAATCATGTGGAGAATTTTATGTTATTTTATGGGGCTTTTGGATCCTTTTTAAGCTTGAAAGCTTCGGTCCCAATTTATTGTAATTGCATAAAAAGCGGCAGTCAAAACCTTTTCTTTTGTGCTCTACAGAAGAAAGAAAGCCATACAGGTTTGGAATGACATGTGGGTAAGTAAATAATGACCGAATTTTGTTTTTGCTTGCCCTATTCTGTCATTCAGATCCTTTTTCTCATTACATTTCCTGTCCCTCTTTCCTTTCTCCTCTCTTTTCAGCGCTCCAACTTTTTCATCCATTACATTTCTCTGTTTTTCCTGCACTTTTCCCAAAACCAATCATTTAAAAGGCGTTTCTTCTTTCCTGCTTCCTGCACATCATTACGGCTCAGGCTGGAAGCTGATAAACATTTCATCACACAGATGTCTGGGTGAGTCACGTCAGCAATGTTGTTCTCTGCGTTTTTGGGACTCTGGGTTTTGTGCCACATTATAGCACCAAAGAAAGAGAGAGTGGCAGATCTTCAAGTTGTTCTAATCCTCCGTATACGGAGTCTGTAAATCCCACAGTCTCTCACCTCTCCCCTCTCAGCTCAAAGGCCAAGTCTCTGTCGTCAACTCGACACACTCCTCGATTCGCCACGCTTAATATTCCTGTCATGACTATCCAAAGTTAAAATATGACATTTTCAATTACTATATCCCCTCTTGCTCACGCTTTCTTCTCCTTTTCCTGAGTTTCACTTCATTAATTAAGTGCCCATGTTGTTTCTTCCAATTAGAGCCACAGCTCATTACTGTGCTACATCTTTTTCTCTCTCCTGCGAGCAACGATGGCTCTCCTTCCATCTCTTTCTCCATCCATCCTTTCACTCATTTCAATCTCAGTAGCTCTCTGAGGTCGTTTGATTGTAATGGTTTTTATAGGCAGTGAGGTCCATCATGGGTAAGTACTGCTGCTGTTTTACATAAGCATGTCTCCAGGGGACTGTCCTTTGACCGCTTGACCACTGGACAAGCTGCATATGTGGAGGTGAGGAGTACACACACACATATTCACATATGCTTTGCTTTATACAATATAGTTAATGGAGATTTAAAGCGTTAATGAAGATTTCTACCTTCTAATCTTCAATCTAGCACTGAGACACCTTTTACATTTTTGTATTTTCAATAAAGCATTATTTAGCATGTTTAAGACATTTTCCTTAGAGACTTTTGGCTGCTGCCTACAATGTAGGTGATTTCAGGTTTAGCAGTTCTTGTGTAGGCAAAACCTGAACCCACACAGATACATTGAAATAAATATAAAAAGTAGTAGCACATTAAAATGCTTCTTGTGGGTTTGGTAAAAAAGTGTGTACCGAATATATATGCAAATGTAAAAGTTTCCAGACAGACAAAGATAACGCAGCACAGACAGGCGTACCTGTTGAGCCATGTGGTAAATATACACTTGCATATCAGTCAGCGTAAATTGCGAAATTTCTGAAAAACAAAGTCTCCTCCTCCTCTGTCCTTTTGCCTTTCTCATTTCCCTATCTGTATCACCCTGATTCATTTTGTCTTTCCTGACTCATTTTGTCCTCCTGTTTATAATCATCATTGCATTCGTATTGGCTGGTTGCTCCTCATTTTGCACTTCATGGTCACTTTAGACATAAAATAAATCAGTGAGAAAAAAGTTTGTCAGTGCGAAGCAGCGAGATATTGAGATCAGCCTTCCTTCACCCTCTGGTGTCACTGTGACTGCTGACTCATCATCTCGATGGTTCTCCGTCATCCTCTATCAGCCTTCAGCAGTCAGCCATTTCTCTCTTTTAGTTGCAGTGAGCATGGGATTTCCAGCGGATGAAGCCTAAATACGCTGATACCTCTGAGAGTTAATACCAAATCTTGTTCATTTACTCCCACACAAACACATTAAATGGGAAGGTCTGTGTTCTGTGTAGAAGAGCAACGAAAGAAAGAAAAAGGAAGGAAGAAAGGAATGAAGAAAGGAATGATGGTAGGAAGGAAGACGGGATATAGGGAAGGCAGGAAGGAAGTAAGGAAGGATAAAAGAAAAGAAGAAACAAATAAAGAAAGGAACATAGAAGGGGTGGAAAAGACAGGAAAGAAGAGAGGGAGGAGGGAAAGAAAGAAGATGAAAGGAAGGAAGGAAATAAGGAAGAATGGAGGATAAGAGAAATGAAAAAAAGGATGTAACTATAGGAGTAAAGGAATATGAATATGAAGGAAAGGAAGAGGGATAACAAGGGGAAAAGATGGGGTGGTACAAAGGAAGTATTAAACCTAAGGAAGGAAATGAGAAATGAATAAAGGATGGAAGGAAGGATGAAAACAAAGAAAGGAGTAAAGGAATGAAGGAAAAAATGATCAAAGAAAGAAAGAAATATTAAGGAAGGTCAGAAAAACAATGGAAGGTAAGGACAAGAAGAAAGAACGAGAGTTAGAAAAGAAGGAAGAAAGGAAGGAAAGTTAGAAAAATAGAAGGGAAGGGGAAAAAGGAAAGATGGAAGGAAGTAGGAACAAAGCAATTAATAGTAAGGAAGGAAAGAAAAATTGGAAGGATGGATAAAAAAAGAAGGGAAGGAAACTAAGGAAGAAAAAAAACAGGAAGAATGGATGGATGGAAATGAAACAAATGGAGGATAAAAGGATGAAAACAGAAAGGAATGAAGGAAAAGAAAAAATATAAAAAAGAAAGGATGAAATGGAATAAAGGGAAGAAGATAGATAGATAGATAGATCGATAGATCGATAGATTAAGGAAGGTAAGAAAAACAAAGGGAGGTAAGGACAGGAAGGAAGGAAGGAAGGAAGGAAAGGTAGGAAAAATAGAAGGAAATGAGAAAGGAAGGAAGGAAGGAACAAAGGAAAGATGGAAGAAGGAACAAAGCAATTAATAAAGTAAGGAAGGAAAATTGGAAGGTTGGATAAAAGAAGGAACAAAGGGAGGAGGAAACGAAAAAAGAAACAGGAAGAATGGAGGCATGGACGAATGGAGGGAAGGAGGAAACAAATAAAGGGGGAAGAAAGGAGGAAGTAAGGAAAGATGGAATGCATAAAGAGAAGAAAAGAAGGAAGAAGTAAAAGAGGGAGGAAAGAATGCAGTAGGGAAGGACGGAAGAATAAACAGGCAGAGAAAGGGATTCCTGGGACATTTTCTGAAGTGCAGAGGTGTTTCAAAGCTAAGAGGCTCACCTACAAAGAACCGTGGATAGAAGGAGTGGAAGAGAGAGGGAGCGAATGATAGAAGCGGGATGAAAGATGACATTCCCACCCACCTGCGCTCTCCGAGCTGCCTCGTTAAGGTGCGTATTTGATGGCTGTCGTTACCATGCAAAAAAAGGAGGAGGAAAAAAAGAGAAAGAAAGGAGGAAGACCTCTGGGGATCTCATTTCTTGCACTCTTTCAAAATACATCACACATCCTGCGGGTCTACAGACACAGCTGGAAGATGCAGTGCCCTGAACAACCACAGGGGGCAGACCTGGGCGAGAGGGGGAGGACTAAAAAAAACACACACCATGGTGGGAGAACAAGACTACTTTGTCGCATTCAAAGCCACAGTAAACCACCTCTGTAGCTATAAAGAACCCACGCTGTTCTCGAACGGAAAAGAAAGTGTAGGTGTTCATGCGTATACATATGGAATTGTTTTGTGAAAACAGGTTTCAAATGAAAGCCTACATACTTTGACATGCAAAAATGGGGACTGTACTGAGTAGTTTAGAAGGGGTCTTGTGACGGGACACGTTTGTTTTCTTACCGTACACCAGCAGTGTGTAGTGGTCGGCTGCACGGCCGTAATTATTATGCGCCTGACAGAGGTAGGTGCCGTTGTGTGATTGGCTGAGGCGAGACATATGGAGAATGTTGCCCGTTTTCTCAGCCCTCTCAGGAAGAGTGTCGTTCACTCGCGACCACTGGATGTCACGTGGTCTAGAAAAAAAGACAGCAAAATAAGACATTATATTAAAGAAGCAATCAAGAATTTATCAAAGAGGGTACAAGGCATTAAAAGAAAAGCTTGAAAAACAAATCTTCTCCAAATAATGAGACACAAGGGACGAAAGAGAATAGAAATCAGATCATACAAAAAAGATGAAAAAGACATAAAAGGATTTGGGGGAGAAATAACATTTCTTAATCAGTATTTTTGTCTGGTAAAAAATTTAAACAGCCTTAAAACAAATAAGTTATTTTAAATGTGCATTATTTGTGCAAGATAGGATTTGTTTTCAGAGCATGTTAAATTAATTATTTATTGTTTATTTTATATATATAGCTATATACAGTACCGTCGCAAGGGCTGTGCCAAGTGTGCGACTGCACAGGGCCTCGCGCCTCTAGAGGGCCTCGCTCCTGGCCGGCATTTTATGTCGTTTATGTCTAATTTTTCGCTCGGAAACCATATTAACACTGAATAAACACGGCAGCCACATACACAAACACTTAAACACACAGAGTGGTTAAAACACAGAGTCAGTACCGTCGCACAGGCTGTGCCAAGTGTGCGACCGCACAGGGCCTCGCTCCTGGCCTGCATTTTATACCGTTTTTGTCTCATTTTTTTACTGTTTTTCCACCCATTTTGTCCTTTGAAAGACTAAAATAGTCATAGCTGATAGACAGTTTAAGACTGTGTGTATAAGAATGAGTAAAGCTGTTTGTTGTTAGGATGACAAAAAGTTTTAAAAGTTAAACTTTTAGGCTGGTCTGCCTCAGTGGTCCAACAGCGCTCGTCAGTGTCAAAATGATCGATGGCCAATCAAATCAAAGAAGGCGGTCACTGTCACAACGCAACGAGAGTTCGTGGAAAGATGTAAGTAGTACTATATTAGAAAACTGTTTTACGATAGAAATGTTCAGCGACCGACAGTAATAGACTATCTAGTGATGCAAACTACTCAACTTTTTATTAAATTTCGCCGTTTCGCATTGAAAATATGCGATCATGATTCATGTAAATCATAAATGAACATGGCAAAAGACGTTTGCGTTTTCGACTATTAGACATACGAATAAGAGTGAATGTGCACATTTTAAAATAAAATATTATTTTCAAATAGTGTAAATTGATTACTACTTCATATGAAGAGTTCAGATGCATGCCGATTATCACGGTTAATTGTCTGGTTTTATGGCTTTCATTATATAATTGATTAATTTAAGGGTTCAGTAAATAATTATGATGTTATCTTTTAATCTTTTTGAGTTATTATTTTGCAGTGTAAGATTATATAGAGTATTCCAAATTCTAAGAATTGGCCAATACCGATCCAACACCAGCGCTACTTTTTTTCTACACCACTACAGAATATCAATACTGTGTTTGTGGAACTAATGGTCACTCTTTTAAACCCTTACTTTCGTTTCCATATAACTATAAACTATGATAAAAGTTCATCAGCATGCATTGAATAGGCCTAATCCCATGTTGTAGCGCAAAAAAAAAATAAAAATACTGCTAGCAAATCATGTGCTTTCACTTTAATGGCAATGACTAGTTTCTTTTCTTTCCCTTTAAAGTAAAATAACTGAACATAAACATAGGAGCCTGAGAAAATAACCATTTTAGAAGAAATTTTTAGATGGCACTGAGAGGCTTTTGCATCTTCATAAATAACTACAAACCTAGCACTTATTTTAGCATTCTTATTTACTTATTTACTTGCTTTACTATTATTATTATTATTATGCAGTACATAATTGGGGGGGGGGGGGCAAATGATCAGTGAGAGCAGAAGGAATGTGTCACACGTTTTAAACTCAACAAAATGGTAAAATACATATATCAAGAGCATGCTCACAGATGAGAACAAAA